GGTGAAGTGGAAATGCAAATCAAAGGTGAGATCACGCTCACTTTTCACTGTGGAGCTAGTTTGAAAGACATTGAAAGCTTTTCTCCAGATCAGGATTTGAAGCAAAATGGATGAATGTCTGCACCCAGTGTTCTTTGAAGCTGAGGAGCTCACAGACAGTGAGAAGGAGAAGATCAGGAGATACTTTCAGAAAAAAAGACATTCTGGAGGAGGTGACTGTGGGATGATAGAAAAGGTCAGAGATAAAACCTACCGGATCTGTTTTGAAGAAAAAGAAGGTAAAAAGCCCTGCTGGGTTCAAATGCATTACAAGTAGATTAGAGCCCAAATTTACAGTTTAGATATGTGCATTCCCATAACAGCTGAACTTTGTTTTTCTGATATACTTTAGATCAAGAGCATGTTTTGAGACGAAGAACACACACCATCAATTTTAATGGTCTAGATTTAAATATAACATTGAGTCAATCCAGTCCCAGCCACGGATCTGCAAATCTCCCACAGGTGCGGTTACACTTATTACTGCTTTTACTTTCATAATGACAGGTGTTTGAGAAACCCCAACCATTAAAAAAGTAAACAACACTGGTTTTCTTTTGCAATACTACCAATCCTGTAATTTTTACAGGCTGAAATTTCCTATGAATAATCATGAACGTGTATGTGCATATGAAAGAGAGAGAGAGCGTAAGACAAAGTGAAGAATGTTCGGACTCTGAAGCATCATGTGATCAAGCTGTACAAAGTCACGTTCAACTTTACGCTGGACTGTAAGCTATTTGGTTTGTTTGTTTTTTGTCTTGTGTGTGTGTGCTTGTACCGTAAAAGAGAACATACTGCAGCAGTCATTTGTTGTCTTTGAGTGCCTACTAGTGTCGTTTAAACTTGCCTGCAATAAATATGTTTGGGCAGACTGTGCATGATAAAACATAATAGTTGTCTTTTGACAGCTGTGGTTTCTCTGGATGCTCTGTACCACAGTGTTGGTAGTTTCAGGCTGCTCCATGATGCTGTCTTTAGACGCCGTGTTTCTTCTTTGTTTTCACAGATTTCACACTTGTAATTCACCCACCAACTATACACTCTATTGAACAGTTACCAGTGAACCAGTGAAGACAAAAATCCACCCATTTTATTTTCAAAATAAGTGGACGCAAACATCTGCAGACTTTCTAACAGTGTATGCATCATCCCTTTTGTGTAGATGCATAATGTGTTGCCTTGCCTTGCCATTAAAATGTAAAGTTTATTCTTGTTGTACTACGCTGACTCTGAAGGAAGGCCCTAAA